TTCAACAAATGTGCATATATACGTGTGTATGTGTGTGTGTGTGTAGCTGCCACCTCAATCAAATATAGAACATTTTAATCAGCCCAGAAAGTTCCCCTGTGCCCTTTTGCAATCAATTCCCAGCCCCAGACTACGACTTATTTGCTTTCTGTCACTGCAGATTAGTTGTTCCATTCTATAATTTCATATAAATTTATTCATACAGTACATACTTGTGGCAACCATGAAAATGCATCACTGCTATCTTCTTTCAGAGAGCATAAATGACTGACAGCCCCACATACTGCCCTTCTGGATCTTCCACCACATTTGTATCAAAGCCATACTTCCTACAGGCTGATCCTACCCAACACCTGAGCACAGCAGGACTACAAAGGCAGGCCCTTTCCTGGGGGATACAAAATTTCTTCAACAGGAACCTCTGGTTTGATGACTCTTCATTGGCCTAACCAAAACATTCTTAAAACCATGCTGTAGGCTGGGGCACTGTGGCTCTCGTGCAGGCCCCCCTGCCCACTGCCCTCCCCATCCTAGCACTCTGGGAGGTCAAGGGGGGGGTGGATCATTTGAGCTCAGGAGTTTGAGACCAGACTGAGCAACAGCAAGACCCCAGTCTCCAAGAGGGAGACACCCATCTCTACTAAAAAAATAGAAATTAGCTGGACAAGTGAAAAATATATACATAAAAAAAAAAATTAGCCAGGCATAGTGGCACATGTCTATAGTCCCAGCTACTCGGGAGGCTGAGGCAGGAGGATCGCTTCAGCCCAGGAGTTTGAGGTTGCTGTGAGCTAGGCTGATACCAGGGCACTCTAGCCCAGGCAACAGAGACTCTGTCTCAAAAAAACAAACAAAAGAAACCATCCTGTAGGATGAAACTTCTCCTTTCCAATCCTCCTTACTTCCCTCTCTCCTTTTACAGATGTCTTATCTGCAACTTAGCCTGAAGGCTCTCCCTGCCTTCACCTGATTCATCTGTGGGGGGGGGGGGGAGGCTGCATCTGTACAGAACATTATGTATAGAACATTTATATGTAGGAGATTTAAAGAAAATATATTCTGGAAAAAATCTTTGTCAGATTGGTTATTATAATTTTGTTTTATATTTATGTAAAACATTTATATGATTCTAAAGTCAAATTTATAAAATAAGATAAATTTTTAAAAATCTACCTTCCATCCCTGGCTGCTTCACAGTCTGCTTTTTCTCTCCTCCTATGGGTAACTTTTATTCTTATTACATTTTTTATTTCTCTTTAGAGTCATGTACAGATTTTTTTTCTCCTCATTATTCCCTAAAAACTATAACAACTATTTTACATAGAATTTACATTGTGTTAGGTATTATAGGTAATCTAGAGATGATTTAAAATATATGGGAGTATGCACATAGGTTATATGCAAATACTACGCTATTTTATATAAGGGACTTGAGCATCCATGGATTTTGGTATCCATAGGGGTCCCAGAGCCAATTCCCCTTATATACCAAGGGATTACTGTATATCTACAAATTCTTTAACATTCCCTTCAAAAGGTAGAGTCAATTTCCCTCCTCTTGAGAGTGGACTAGATTTAATGACTTGCTTCTAATAAATAGAATAAGGCAAAAGTGATGGTATCTGACTGCCAATACTATGTCATAAAAGGCATAAGAACAAAGGTTCCCTCCTTGTTCTCTCTTGGGTCTCTCTCTTGCTTTGGGAGAAGCCAGATGCCATGTCATTGCTGTAAAAATCTCAATCAAGTCATATCACTTCTCTGTTCAAAAGCATGCAAATTGCTCCAGAGTTCAAGACCAGCCTCCTGTCTCAGCCTCCCAAGTAGCTAGAACTACAGGGGTGCACCACCACACCCAGCTAATTTTAAAATTTTTTGTAGATGCTAGGCACAGTGGCCTATGCCCTATAATCCCTAGCATGCCGGGAGGTCAAGAAGGCGAATTGTTTGAGCTCTGGAGTTCCAGACCAGCCTTAGCAAGAGTGAGACACGGTCTCTACTAAAAATAGAAAAATTAGCCGGGCATTGTGGCATGCACCTGTAGTCCCAGGTACTCAGGAGGCTGCAGCAGGAGGATCACTTGAGCCCAGGAGTTTGAGGCTGCATTAAGCTACGACGATGACACTGCACTCTACTGAGGATGACAGAGTGAGACTCTGTTTCAAAAACAAAAAACAAGGAAATGGAAATTGAAGCTCCCTCCTTACTTCCCCCCTTCATAAAAAAATGAATAAAAGTAACATTAAACATTTTTTTTTTGTAGAAATAGGGTCTTGCTAGTTTGCCCAGGCTGGTCTCAAACTCCTGGTGTCAAGCTATCCTCCAGCCTTGGTCTCCCAAAGTGCTGGGATTACAGGCATGACCCACTACACCCAGCCAAAATGTCTTCAATATATTTTGCAATGCTCTTCAGGGTAAGGTAAACCCAGTACCTTTGCTCTAGCCATTTATTTAATGTGAACAAATAATTAGGAAAATTATTCAACATATATTTATCATGGGCCTCCTCTGTGGGCCAGACATAGTAATAAATGCAGACTTGTCCATCTCAACCTTTTTAGTGGTTATTTTATTCCATGCCTCTTTGCATATAAACCAGCTGTTCATGATAAAAGGTGAACCTATGGCCACTGGTGTGCATTATGATCATAGTATTTTCCCCAAAGCCAAGGACAAGCCTCTGACACAGCAATTCTGTAATCCAACACACTCCTCACCTCTCTCTGTGTAAAGAATGCTTTATAGGCAGAACTGAGTACAGGGTGGGAATCTGAGCTGCATGCAGCTCTCTTTGGATATTTCAGATAAGACCATGCAATAGAGCAGAGCAGGCTGGAGTTCTGCCAAAGGAGCTCAGACCCCCCAGAAAAACTAATGAAATTCACTGGGCTAGAAGTAAGAAGCCAGGATCTTTTCTGTATGAATTATAAGAGCTGTCTTAACTCTTATGGATACCTTAAGAATTGAAAGGACAATGATGTCCTTCTCTCACATACATACATAATTCAAGATGAGAGTAATTGATTGCAATAAAGCTCTGATTTTTCTCATGAGGACAACTTTGGTGCTTTATTTTTAATACCAAATATGAAATTATTTCCAGAAAAAACTTAGAGATGTCCCTCCTACTTTGTTAAGAGTGTGCTTAATTTACCTATTGGGTAATTTATCACTATATATTATGAAATGATGAAGTCCTAAGGGGCTGAGAATGTCCTAACTAGTTTAAACTTAGCCAAGACTGCAATACCTTTCAAACCATTTGAAATTTATACTATCTTCTACCTTGTGCCTACTTCAGAACACAAACAAGGAAAGAGCCTTTAATAGTGCCTTCTGGCCAGGTCCAGTGGCAGACACCTGTAATCCTAGCACTTTGAGAGACCAAGGTGGGACGACTGCTTAAGGCCAGGAGTTCAAGACCAGCCTAAGCAAGAGCAAGATCCCATCTCTGTAAAACACAGAAAAATTAGCCAGGTGTGGTGGTGCATGCCTGTAGTCCCAGCTACTAGAGAGGCAAGAGGATCCTCCTGAGGCAAGAAGATCACTTGAGCTCAGGAATTTGAGTTTGCAGTGAGCTATGATGATGCCACTGCATTCTAGCCTAGGTGACAGAGTGAGACCCTATCTCAAAAAAAAAAAAAAAAGACACCTTCCTCTTGCACCTCTTCTAACATCTTCTTTCAATGGTGGATCCTCAGAGATGCTTTCCACAATTTAAGGGTCTTTCATCTCAAATAGTTCAAAAGCATTGGTGACATTGTCTGCCTTTGGCAAAGAGCCTGTAGAATATTCATCGAGCACAAATATGCAACTTTAGAATTAACATTTTAGTCTACATTTGCAGCTGTAATTAATAAAACCCAATTCTTGCAAGGGCTGAGATCACAGGCCCAAATTTCTGCCCCTATCATGTGACTAGTGTGTGATCCTTCCCTATACTATTCAGATCTATTGTCTAACCTCTTTGTCAGACTTGATGAAAGCAGAACCTGTGGTTAACTGCTGCTGACCCTTATACTGTGAGACCCTGTGCTAGTTAAAGGCCTCATGTCTACAGTTGCTATGGCAACTGTCCCTTTCCTCTCCCCACAACCTATTCTGGCTCTGCTTCCACATAGCACTCCTTTTCTGATTGCACATCTCTCCATGCGCTTTCTGGATTCAGCTCCCCAAATAGAGGGGAGAATGAGGTGGAGGTGTAGCAAAACATTGTGTCATGTGTCATACAGAGTGGAGGCATCGCCACCATCTGATGCTCTGCCAACACTCTTATTTCCCCTTCTCTGCTGGAAAAAGGATTTTCAAGGCCATATCCAAATTGGTTGCAGAATGGACTGGCTGTTTTTCTATTGCACATGCTCCATGATAGGGGCCACAATTGCTGTGAGGTACTTAACATGCAGACACTGCCCAATCAGAATGTGGCTCACAAGCAGCCTTGCTGAATGAGGTACTGTGCTCCTTTCTACCCTGTACTATACCCAAAGTGGAAAGCAAATGGTCCAAAAAGAAGTGCTGCTGGAGCCCTAGGGTGACAGACAGACTAGATATACATATATGTACAAAATGATTCAATAACATGGGTAAAAGACTGTAGTACGGGATAGGAGGAGACACATTGAGAAATGGGGTAGGGTAGACTTACAGCACCACTTTTACAAAGATGTTCAGTCAGTCATAAAACAGTGCCAGGCCTCCTCAGTCCTTTCCCTTTCTCTGGTTTTGGTTTTGGAACTGTCAATCTCTTCTGTGGTTCAAACGTTGCCCCTTCCGTTTTGAGAACCCCCCGGGAAAGTAATACCAAAGTCTCTCCTAAGGTTGCCCATCTCTTTTAGTAACCTTGCATCACTTACATCTCACATCACTTGTGACTGGAAAGGTCTTTCCTGGGTTTGACTCAAATCCCCCTTGCTGCAGTCTGAGCTCACTGCACTCGAGTCCTGAACTCAGCAGAGATGGAGACTCGCCAGCCAACCGCTACCGGCATAACAACTCACCAGGGACTCAGGGCCGGAAGGTCATTCTGTCCCCTCCAATACTGCGCAGCCTTCCAGAGCACTCCCAGGGCCTGGGGCAAGGAAGATGGGGAAACCGAGGATGAAGACCAGGACTCTGGCAGGCAGTGATTAAAAAAAGAGAGAGAGAGGGAGAAAAGAAAAGCAAAACGCCAAACAAAGAAAATACAGACAGAGATGGAGACAACAATACAAACTTGGAGACAGACAGGGACAAGATGGCTCCCCTCAGTTCGGGCGAGGCTGCGGAATTGCCAGACAGTACTTATCAGGGACACAGCCTAACTAGAAGGTTCTTCCAGCGCCGAGGCAATCGACTCGCCCCTCCACTGGGTCCCTCAAAGAAGCCCCCACCCCTGCTCAAGTCGGAGCGGGACCTCCCTCTGGAAAACTGGAGGAGGGTTAAAGGGGCGGCCACCATCCCCTGGCCAAGCAGGACCTCGCAGCGGGAGCGTCCCGGCCCCAGCCCGGCCCCTGCGGCGCCCGAGCTCCGCCCCCTGACAAGCAGCAGCCAATCAGCGGCCCCTGCCGCCGGCCTTTAAGAACCGCGCGCACTCTCCCTGCAGCGGTCGCTGCCGGCCTAGCGCTCCGCCGAGTTTCCATGGAGACCGAGGCCGGGCCCGCGCGGCCTCCCAGCGTTGTCATGGAGACAACTCCGGGGCTGGGGCTCCCAAGGCCCGCCGGCTCACCGCTGGCTCAGAACCCCGCGGAGCCGCTGCGCGAGGCTGGAGCCGCGGCGGCGGCGGCGGCTGCACGCTGGGACCTGAGGAAGCACTCTTTGCTCATCGTGATCGGCGACATTGGTACAGAGAGTCAGCTGAGGGCCGTGCGGGCCCACCTTGAACAAGGTGAGCCGCTGTCCTGGCTGTGCTCGGGAACCTCCATCCCACGCTTCTCCGCCATTTGCATTCACCCCCCAGTGCACAGGTCTGCATCCTCCATCCCTAGTGTGCACCTCCTGAGATCTGCACCCCTGTCACCTGCATCTTCCTGGCCATGTGTCCATATCCTCCCACGCTGCTAACACCGCGCTTCTCCATGCTTTCCGCACACCCAGTGGCATTCCGTAATCTCCTTGAGGTGGGGGAGCTCTGTACAGCCCCTGGGGCCCCTCTGGTCATACCCCTCTCCCGCAGCGTTTTGGGCCAGATGTCCTGAAGGTCCTCACCATCCTCTGGAGACTCTCCATGTCCCTACCTTGCCGTTTCTTCTTTAGGGTCCCTGAACCATCACAGCGTACTTTCTGAATGCCCCGTACAAATCTCGAATTGTTAAATGCTAGCGGCCAGCGGGAGAGAGTGACCTTCCTAGGTACAAGCTCCTCAGGACTTACCTCCCTCCCCAGCTGCGGTGCCTGTGGCCGTGCCTGTGGCGCAGTGCTGCGGAGCCACCTGCGGGTGGAAGCAAGCCATGGAGGGGTGGAAGCAGGGAGGGGGCCATGGAAGGAAAATTTAGAATTCAACTTAGGATAGAGAAGACAGCTCCCGGTATCTGGGAATAGGCCTTTGGGTGTCAGTTCCACCACAACTGGGCAACCTTGCAAGAAAATTCCTACCTACAAAATCTTTAATGACCGAGTTTAGTCTAAACTTTGCCTTTCTTCGTTTGGCTCAGGCAAAGCACAAAAAAGGTGCAGGTTGGGAGATACACACCAGTACTAACCGCCTTTCTTAGAGACATCACTGAGGTTGATGATCATAGCAGCTGTCTGAATCCCCTCCCTCTTAATCCTTCTGTGAGTTTGAAAGTGTGCCCTGCAGTCCCACCCACCTGACCTTATCTAGAACCCTCTTTGTTTCTTTTTTTTTTTCCCCAGGGATTCTCTCCTGGAACATTGACTTATCATCCTTCGACTTGAACCAACAGCTGAGACTCTTCATTACCCGGCACCTAGCTCACTTCTCTTCAGAGGTCAAAGGTTAGGTCTAGTGTCATTATTTCAGTCCTTTGGGTAAGGGATGCTCTCACTGACAGAACTGGTCTTCTGGGAGGTTTGTGTTGGGGAGAAGGGAGGGACAGTTATAGAATTCCATAGCTATTCCCACATACCCAGTACATCTTGCAGATACGTGGTCAGATAGCGAAGGGAGCCTAAAGAACAAAATTTCTCCCTGAGAAGAGGGCGGTTTCTGGACAGTTGTTGGCATGCACTAAAGAAATGAGGTACTCCGTAGGATGTTGGTACTTTAAGATGGGAATCTGTCAACATCCTCATTTGCAAGAAAATTAATAAACTTCCTTTTCCTTCTCAAAAAAGAAAAAAATTAATGAGGTACTCCTCTTGAGTGATCAATCATCTCCCATGCAAAAAGCCACTCTCTTCATTTGTATTCCCCTTTCTGCATACCACAGCCACCTTGCTTTCCTTACAGAGACCCTAGGATCCCACACTCACCTTCCCAGACCCTTACTTAGCATTTTCCCTCAGGCTGCACAGCCTACCCTCCAGGTTTCAGGGCTTCTGGTTCTTCCTTTGGCTTACACAACAGATCTCCAGAACAGAGCAGAACACCGGTACCAAAGGATGATGAGCACCATCAAATCCAGGGTGAAAGGAGGATCTCCTGAATTTACTGTTGCAAGAGCAAGTTACACTCTGATATTTGGCTCTGAGATCAAAGCTCACAGAATGCAGTTTCCCAGTCTACTGACTGGGAGAAATGGGTTAGAGATTTAAGAAAATAAAATTTTAAGAACCATCATTCCATGACAGATGTCTGTGAGGAAACTGCAAAAGCCCTACATCCCATTATGAAAGTGCTAGGCATCTAGTCATGTTATTGGTAAATGTTAACACACCAATCCCTGTAGCTTTATGGAATATAAAATCCATCCAGCTCAACCGTCACTACGACTGAATGACTGAATTCATATCTTATACAAATAATTCTCAATTATCCAGTATAGCAGATAGCCACCTCTCTTTCTTTTCCTGATCCTCCTCCTAATTGCCAGATCTTTGGTCATTTCTTTTTTTTTTTTTTTTCTGCATATTATGGGGGTACAAATGTTAAGGTTAGGTATATTGCCCTTGCCTCCCCTCCCCCCTTGAATCAGAGCTTCAAGCATGTCCATCCCCTAGGTGGTGCGTATCGCACTCATTATGTATGTATATACCCATCCCCTCCTCCCCTTTGGTCATTTCTTGATCATTGATGCCTCTACACATACTGCTGGAAAGCTGGAGAAAACAAGGTTAATATGACTAAAGCACATTACCCTAGGAATATGTGTAGCAATTTAAAAAATGTGAGGCTGGCATCTTCCTGATGTGACTGGCTTCCTGTAAAGCATGCCACTCACTCTTTTTTTTTTTTTTTAAGTTAGTCAAGCGTGGTTGTTGGGGGAGACAATGTTAAATCAGCTTAACAATAACCCACAACCCTCGGACCAGCTTCCACTCACTCTTGGTACAAGTGACAGAGAATGAAATTAATGACTGATTTGAAGCTTGGGGATTATCTGCTGATGTTAATAATTCACACTGAATTCTCTAACCTGTCCTTTTGGCCACAGAGACTTGAGCATAGGCTGCTTTCTGGAATGATGTAAGAAATGAACAGAAGTTAAACCAAAGCAGGCATTCTAGAGATTAAGATGCAGGGATGCTTGGGAAGATGCTTGCAAAGAGATGCCTAGTTACCCTGGGGCACGTCTCAGAAACAAAGACTGATATAAAATACCTACTAGACCTTTTCAATCAAAGAGTTTTGCCATGGTGTCCTCAAGGGGCTTTGGGTCATACACCCAAGATCAGGGCTTACTTTAGCATACTGATTTTTTTTTTTTTTAGGTTTGGACATTTTCATGGTGGCCTCTCTATGTCCCTGGAGAATAGTGGAGAATTTCCTGGAAAATCTCACACAGCTCAAGCCAGCCACAGCCCCACCCCTGCTGGCTCCTCTTTCAGCTGTCCCCACAAACAACAGTCAGCCCAGAGCAGCTGCAGACATTGCCCTTCCCTTCAGCCTCCTATTAGGAAGGAGGCAGAGGGAACCAGGCAACTGGCATGGGCTCAAGGACATATGCCAGTATCTTATAACTTGACCTTTTCTGCCTACCTCACAGGACAGGCTACCATTCCTATCACCTATCCTCAAGTCCTGGGCCAAAATGCTGAGAAAGGGGACAAAAATATATCCTACAATGACAGGGAGAGTGTAGTTAGGAATAAGTACTGCCCCCTCCACATTTACACACCCATGCACTGAAAAGGGACCCTCTGATGGAGAGTCAGTGGTCCAGCTCCTTCTAGTGGTCAAGTCTGGTAAAAGCTTTCAAAGGTGGCTTTTGTACCAGGTAGTCAGTCTCTATTGGTGACTTGGGGCTTTCCTTTCTAACTCCTGCAGAAAATCTGGAGCTTCCTTCTGAGCATTCTAACACAGACACAAAAACAGGACAACTGAGTTTTAGTAACACTCTGATAGGAAGGGGAGGGAGTTTCATAATTCATAGTTAATATTCTAAGACTTCTAAAAACACAGGCTGAGAGACCAGTTTGGAGGCCTTCTGTCTGACTCTGCATTACCATTGATGTGCTCAGGAAGTGACAGTTCTGTTACTTCTGCCAATAGGAAAGCCATTCTTCATTAATACAGCATTGTTGTCTGAAATAGAAAAGAAGGGACATGAATAGAACTTCAAGTCTCATGCTGCAGGCATCTCCAGTTCTGGATTTACGTGGGAGCTAAGAGTACTCCAGAGTTGGTCTCGTCCGAGATTCTGATTTAGCATTTCCCTGATCACCTAAGTGACCTCTTGGAAATCTTCCATAAAAGGGAGATGGACTTCCAGTGGCATTTATACATTGCAGGTTTAGGATTCTAGAAATGAAGATGTACTTTTTCATCTTTTATGCCATTCAAACCTCACAGTGTTATTGCAGGATGGTACTAATATTATACTCATTTTATAGTTTAGTAGCAAGCCCTGAAAGAGGTTAAGTGGCATGTTTAACAGCATGATCAGTAAAATGGTGGAGTCAGGTCTCACATTCAGGGTTTCTAATCTCACTTTGCATCTGAGCTGAAGATTGTCTCTCTTCTTTGGCATCTCATCATTTCATTGCTGCGAGCCTAGGAACACTAAGGGTGTAGAGTTGGTTGTTGTGGGTGGCTGTTCAGAGGGCAAGGGCCATTGTGAGTCGAAACCATGACCAGGGTGTAGTCCTTGGGGGGTGGCAACTGAAAATAAGGGTGGGCTCTGCTTTGGGCTAGGAAATTTTATTTTGTTCTCAAGCCAAATGTCCACTCAAGTGTCCCTCCTAACACACTCCAGAGAGCCTTAGAAAGCAGAGAGGAGATAGAAGGCTTGAGGTGAGAGGAAATAAGAATGATGAAGTTGCAGGAGGGAGTATTTTCCTTTTCTCGGAACTACCTGTTTTCATTGTGTATCTCTGCAGATGGCCTCTTCTATCCAAATGGGGCTGTTGCCATTGTGGCTGCTTTGCATCCCCGGATCTGGGCAAAGATTGTTCCCATTCTGTCCTCCCCACCCGCTAAGAGTACTGGTGACTCAGCTTCTCCTCTCTTCTGGCTGCAGTTAAGGGGGGATGGGGGATGCTGAAAGCAGAGACTATTTTGGCTTCTCTGACCTTCAAAAGCAGCTTTTGGCAACCAGGGCAAGGGTGGAGCTCATGCTGGGGTGTGAGTGGGTGGATGTCACTGTGAGAAAGGCCTTAGGAACTAGCCAGGGCTAGGGAGAGTTAATGAGAAGAGGGCAGAGAAGGACTATGTGAGAGCATGGATATCACCCAGTTAGAAATGAGTGCTAGAGCTCTCCAGATCCTTCCTTTGAATCCTGGAGCACTTCACTAAATCTGAGACAGAGGTAGAGAGACTAAGGAAAACAGGGCCAACATTAGAAAGATCAAGATAAGATAGAGATAACAAAGAGACACAGAAAGTTACAGAGACAAGAAGAGAACAGGAACCTAACCACCCAACAAAGTCATTATAATATTTAATCCAAAGAACTTTATGTTACATTTAATAATTGGCCTATAGTAAGAAAACCTTGTCGGCCTATGGCCCTGGTGATCCTTCTTTCCTTGTTAACTCCTTCACTGAAAGGCAGAAAGTTCCCTGCCTCTTCATACCCAATGACTCAAGAATCCCAAGAATCAGTGCCTGTGTGGTTACTGTGCTGTGCTGCATTGCCACAGAACTGCATGCAGCTCCAGGTCCCTGTGCCCCACTCCAGATGGGCTAGGACCATGTGTTCATACCAGAATGTCAAACTGCCCTCCAACCCTAAAGTGAGACTATTTCACCTCCTGTGTTCTGCAGCTGTGGTTCAAAAGAGCTCAGAGCATCTCTCATCCCAACCTTTCTCTCAAGCAGTCTCAAGGGTGCTTAGCTGTCCACCCCTACCCCATGCTTTCAGGCCCCCAGCCTTTGTCTTCCTGCTTCTCTAGGGATGAAGGTCACTCCATGTCCCATCTGAGGGGAGAGGAAACAGATGGTTTCTAAGAGAAGGGGAGAGCCCATGCCTCCTACATCCCATTCTGTGCCTAGCGTGGGCTTGGTCTTTGGCTGATGCTAAGAGTATTCTTAACTAAGTAGAGTTGGGGAGAAAGGTCTGTGGACCACAGAGATCACAGTGGCTCTCAAGCTGCTAGACAATCCTCAGCCCACAGAGCCAAGCAGAAGCACCAGAGCACTGACACTGTGAAGCAAAGAAACTTAAGTCTCCAGTGCCTCGTCACGGACCAGCCCCTCTTCCTGCCCTGCGCCGCCCTCCCATCAAGCGCCCCCCCCCCATCCCACCCCAAGTGCGGCAGAGCTTCCCTGAAGCTGCCGGCTGCGCCGGAGCTGGAGCTGCCGCCTCCATGAGAGCTTCCTCCACATCCCAGGGTAAGCACCGGACCTACAGCCTGGCATGGGTCGGAGATACCTGTGATAGGGAGGTGGATTGGGGTAATGGGAAGGGAGTTGGTACCTAATCTGTGCATCTGACTAGCCCAGCAGGGTGCAGGCTGGGGAATGAGGAGAAGAAGATGAACATTTCTGCTGTGGGCCAGCCTGGACCAGAACCGAGACCAAGGGTGTGACAGGGAGGTGGGGAGAATATCAGGCCTGGGGGCAGCACAGAGATGGTGTCACGGCTCTGCCTGGCAGCCAGCGTTCTGAGGGAGTGTTGGGGCTATTCTTTGGTCAGAGGCAGAAAAATCTGAGAGAAAGGGTGATTATGGGAATGTGCCTAATGGGAGGGTCCCTGCGTGTTCAGCTGCTGGATTGCTCACTCGCTCCTGGTGGGGTTGAGCGGGGCAGCGACGATGCGCGTGGGGGCGCGCTGCCGCCGGTTTTGCCAAGTAAGGGAAGGTGGCGGGTACAGCATGGAAATAAGGGAGGAAAGGGTCATTAAAACGTGGCACATGCTTCTCAAGACCAACCAGTTGCAGTGGGCTCCCCCCTACCTATCCCTGCGCCAGCTTGATACGGGACCTAAGCCCCCCCTTTCTGGCCCCTGAGGCACTCTGGAGGTTGAGAGCTACCCCTCCCCAGCCACTGCCTGCGATTCCAGTCCGTCAACTCTTACAGGTCCCAGCCCAGCCCCACCCCCACCTCATCTCTGCTTCTCTTCCAAAGATGGGCTCTTGAACAGAGAAAGCCAGTTTCTTCTCCCTTTCTGCGTCCCCCACCCCCCACCCCATGCAGAGGCAGCCAAAAAAATGACTTGTCATGCTGGGGTGGGTGGGGCGGAGCTGGCGCCGGAGCTCAGCGCGCACACTCACACACACTCACACACTGCGGCAGACTGCAGCTGCCCGAGCCGCCCTCCTCCCTTCTGCCTCACTGCGGAGACACCTGCCCCTCCTGCGCTGCTCGGCCTCCGCACCCGCCGCCCACCCCGGCCCAGCGCTGGCTGAGCTCTGTGTGCCCCTGCCCCACAAGATGGTCCTCTCCAAAGAAAAAGGAAAAACAAGTCAGTTCCCTTCTTGGGAGAGCTGGGAGGCAAGAGAGAAACAGGGCTTCTCCCAGCTGAAAAGAGAGCACGGGATACAAACCGTGTAGTTGCAAGCCAGAACCACTCTCCAGGCACACAGGGTAGGGATGGGGTTATGGGCGGACAGGAACTGGGATCAGAAAAGCAGGGCACTGTGAGTAATGGTAGACTGGGGGCAAAGAGGGACTGGCATAGAAGTAAGTCAGTCTGTGCCATGGATATTCGTCTTTCTGAACCTCTAGCTCAAATGTGTAGGGTGACCTCTGCCCTTCTAAAACTGAACTCCTTAAGGCTGGAGCTCCCTGGACCTTACTACTATCCCTCACCTGCTCAAGCCCTCCCGTTGCTTACCTCTGAGGGGGTCTCATCCCCTGAACTTACCTCAAAGTCCCCTCCCCCATTCCCAATTAATAGAAGAGAACCCTGAACTTTCTTGGGCCCAATCCCTGTATGGGGTTTGGTCTTCTGACACCATCCATAGTTCATTTCCCCACAGCTGCATGTACAGCCCTGTGCTGCCCCATCTGCCTATCCTGAACCCCCCCCAAAATAGTCTCTTAACCACTTTGGTACCGCGCTCACCAGCCTCGAAACCTTGCCCACAGCCGGCACTCATAGTCCTCACGATAGTTTGTGACGATAGTTTGTGACGAATCTGTTTTGCTCTTGTGTGATGAGGAAAGCTTTAAAGTACTGAAAGCTTGTTTTACTTTACAGGCAGCTTTACTTACAATGTAAATCAGAATAGGTAACATATACATATATGTTTTCATTACGTTATTTTTAAATGTTCACAATTTTATTTTGATAAATGAAAAATTAGAAAAGTCATATATCATGGCTTTCGGCTAAAGTCGCTGTGTGTGGTCATCTGTGGCTGTCGACTATAGTCGAGGCTGGGCTGTGCGCGTTCGTCTGTGGCCTGGCACCTTAGGCTCCTCTTGTCCAAACCTCAGAAAGAGGAGAGAGTTGGGTCACAGAAGAGGGTCTAGGGGACAGATTATGAGCCCTCCCAACCAGTATCCTCCACACAGCCCATGCCCTACGCCATCTACTGGAGTCTCTATTTGTGAGATTAACTCCACTGGGTGCTGCATTTGGGAAAAGGGGTCGGGTTGGTGGGAAGGCAGGAGCAGAGGATGGTAGCATTGTGCAGAATGCTGAAGCATCTTCTGTCTGGTCTGCCACTTTCTTTCTTTGCTGCATTGCTTGGTATTTCATGTGAATCTGGAGAAGGGAAGTAGGCAGAGGATTTAGGGATGTCTTACTTTTTTTCATGGCCTGCAGAATACCATCAATCTCTCCTTCCTTATTTATGTGTTTCTTGTTTGTGGACTCCTCACTCCCCATCTCTGTGTAGAAGGCCCATAGGAGAGGGGCAAGGATGAGAGGAGAAACCGTTCACAAATGGTAGGTTTTGGGGTAGTGAACCAAACCTCTCTGGAGCCCAGGGACATGAAGATGAGGTCGGAAAGGAAGCTGTGAAACCTTTGGGGGTTGGAACAATATGATTGCATGCATATGTGAGTGCAGTCTTAGCCTTTGAAGAACCAGAGAACAAAACAGGAAGTTATACTCCTATGTCCACTCTTTGAATTATAAAATTCCAAGGGCTTAGCTGGGCACAGTGGCGCACTCCTGTAATCCTAGCACTCTGGGAGGCTGAGGTGAGAGGATCGCTCAAGGTCAGGAGTTCGAAACCAGACTGAGCAAGAGCGAGACCCCGTCTCTACTAAAAAAAAATAGAAATTAATTGGCCAACTAAAAAATATATATAGAGAGAAAAAACAAATAGCCGCGGGCCGGGTGCAGTGGCTCACGCCTGTAATCCTAGCTCTCTGGGAGGCCGAGGCGGGCGGATTACTCAAGGTCAAGAGTTCAAAACCAGCCTGAGCAAGAGCGAGACCCGTCTCTACTATAAATAGAAAGAAACTAATTGGCCAACTGATATATATATAAAAAAAAAATTAGCCGGGCATGGTGGCGCATGCCTGTAGTCCCAGCTACTCGGGAGGCTGAGACAGAAGGATCGCTCGAGCCCAGGAGTTTGAAGTTGCTGTGAGCTAGGCTGACGCCACGGCACTCACACTAGCCTGGGCAACAGAATGAGACTCTGTCTCAAACAAAACAAAACAAAACAAAACAAAACCCTCAAAACTCCAAGGGCTTAGATAACACAGGCTTCTCTGAGTCTTTTGGGACAGGAATTCTGGCCTTGAATGAGGGGTTGGAAGGAAGGATGGGGAGTCTGTAGATACTACACAGAAGCTCCCATCTCCTTATTTCCAGACACTCTGCTGGCATGAAAGCACAGGGCAGAGGCAAGCTAGTGAGGAAAAAGCTGAGTGAGGATCATCATCCCAGAACCCTCTCTCCAGCTGAGCCCCCCCACCCCCACCCAGGCAGCACCAGGAGCTTAGTGCTCCAGAGGGACAAAAGCTTTCTTGTCAACAGGGCTGAGGCGAGAGGGGTGGGGCCATAGGCAGCAGAGGGTGTGGCAGATGAAGGGAGGGAGAAGACTGCCAGTGTGGGAGAGGGGAGGTGAAAACCCTGAAAGGGGAGGGCCAGAGGAGCCAGTTCCTAGACCTTACTGAGCAGCATGCAAGGTGGCAGGGTCTAAGGATAGCCAGGCTTCTCTTTCCCCAGCCCGATTTTCTGATAGTGCAATCTCGCCTTGCCTGCCCCACACAATGCCTTCCCATTTTAGGCTATAACAACTCTCTTCAGTACAAATTCCTACATCTCTCCCTTAGGCCAAAGGACCCTCTGCCACCAGAGTGAGATCCTAGAGACCATCATCCTGGTAAACCCCAGTGCAGACAGCATCAGCTCTGAGGTAAGGCCAGGGCCTGTAACCCATCCTTGCCAGTGCTACCACTTTAGGGCCAAGAATTCCCCTCTCTGCTATCTAAGCTGACTTATAATCCCCAGCCTTACTCTGGAGGTATTGTGGGGGACACCAGTGGGGAGCATGTCCTTGCAGTACGGGGGGAATCAGGAACATTCAGTGCCCTTCCCTGGATTTCCTGCATTTGTGACCACTCCCCTTCTTCCATTCCAGGTTCACCATCTTCTTAGCAGCCCATCAGCTCACAAACTACTGATCTTGAGTGGGCAAAGTTTAGAGCCTGGGGGCGACCTCATCCTACAGAGTGGAACCTACTCCTACCAAAACTTTGCCCAGGTCCTTCACAACCCAGAGGTAAGCCCCATGCCTGTGTGTTTGAGAGACAGGGGATATGGGACAGGACTAGGGCTGTGAAGAGGTCCAAGAAAAAGAAAGTCTCATATTGCATGACCATTGGGGACCCTGGCAGAAAGGCAGTTCACCTCAGATAGAGGCGAAGATGAGGGGATTGGATCTGAGGCAGGCTAAGACAACCCCAATGACCTGACCAGGCTTCTATCTCCCATTCCTCTAGATTGCCCAATTGCTCAGCAATAGAGACCCTGGGATCCAGGCCTTCCTCACCGTGTCCTGCTTAGGAGAGGGTGATTGGAGCCACCTGGGACTATCCAGTTCCCAAGAGACCCTGCACCTCCGGCTAAACCCTGAACCCACACTGCCCATCATGGATGGTGTGGCTGAGTTCTCCGAATACGTCTCTGAGACTGTGGATGTGCCATCCCCCTTTGACCTGCTAGAGCCTCCCACCTCAGGGGGCTTCCTCAAGCTCTCCAAGCCTTGCTGCTACATTTTCCCTGGTGGTCGTGGGGACTCTGCCCTCTTTGCCGTTAATGGTTTCAACATCCTGGTGGATGGTGGCTCCGATCGCAAGTCCTGCTTTTGGAAACTGGTGCGGCACCTGGACCGCATTGACTCTGTGCTACTCACACACATTGGGGCAGACAACCTGCCAGGCATCAATGGACTCCTGCAGCGCAAAGTGGCAGAGTTAGAGGAGGAGCAGTCCCAAGGGTCTAGCAGCTACAGCGACTGGGTGAAGAACCTCATCTCCCCTGAGCTTGGAGTTGTTTTTTTCAACGTGCCTGATAAGCTGCGGCTGCCTGATGCCTCCCGGAAAGCCAAACGCAGCATTGAGGAGGCTTGCCTCACTCTGCAGCACCTAAACCGCCTGGGAATCCAGGCTGAGCCTCTGTACCGTGTGGTCAGCAACACCATTGAGCCACTGACTCTCTTCCACAAAATGGGTGTGGGCCGGCTGGACATGTATGTCCTCAACCCTGTCAAGGACAGCAAGGAGATGCAGTTCCTTATGCAAAAGTGGGCAGGCAATAGTAAAGCCAAGACAGGCATTGTGCTGGCCAATGGGAAGGAGGCTGAGATCTCAGTGCCCTACCTCACCTCTATCACTGCTCTGGTGGTCTGGCTACCAGCCAACCCCACTGAGAAGATTGTACGTGTACTTTTTCCAGGAAATGCTCCTCAGAACAAGATCTTAGAGGGCCTGGAAAAACTTCGGCACCTGGACTTCCTGCGTTACCCTGTGGCCACACAGAAGGACCTGGCTGCTGGGCCTATGCCTACCAACCTGAAACCCAGCAAAATAAAACAGCGGGCTGACAGCAAGGAGAGCCTCAAAGCCACTACCAAGACAGCTGTGAGCAAGCTAGCCAAACGGGAGGAGGTGGCGGAAGAGGGAGCCAAGGAGGCTCGCTCAGAGTTGGCCAAGGAGTTAGCCAAGACAGAGAAGAAGGCAAAAGAGGCATCTGAGAAACCCCCAGAGAAGCCTGCCAAGCCTGAGAGGGTGCGGACAGAGTCAAGTGAGGCACTGAAGGCAGAGAAGCGAAAGCTAATCAAAGATAAGGTGGGAAAGAAGCACCTTAAAGAAAAGATATCAAAGCTGGAAGAGAAAAAAGACAAGGAGAAAAAAGAGATCAAGAAAGAGAGAAAAGAGTTCAAGAAGGATGAAGGAAGGAAAGAGGAGAAGAGAGATGCCAAGAGAGAGGAGAAAAGGAAAGATACCAAACCTGAGGTCAAGAAGATTTCTAAGCCAGACCTGAAGCCCTTTACTCCTGAGGTACGTAAGACCCTCTACAAAGCCAAGGCCCCTGGAAGAGTCAAGATAGACAAGAGCCGAGCTGCCCGTGGGGAGAAGGAGCTGTCTTCTGAGCCCCGGACACCCCCAGCTCAAAAGGGGACTGTACCACTCCCAACAGTCAGTGGGCACAGGGAGCTAGCCCTGTCCTCACCAGAGGACCTCACACAGGACTTTGAGGAGATGAAACGTGAGGAGAGAAGTTTGCTGGCTGAACAAAGGGACACAGGACTTGTAGAGAAACTACTCCCTCTAGACACTACAGAGGGGGTACCCCCAAGCACAGCTATCCAGGGAATACCACCCTGTGTCCCAGGGCTGGAACAAGAAGAGCACGTGATGAAGGAGAAAGAGGCCGTCCCAGACATCTCTGAGGAGCAAGGCAGTAAGGACAGAGGCCCAGATTCTGGGGCTGAAACAGAGGAAGAGAAAGATACCTGGGAGGAAAAGAAGCAGAGAGAAATAGAGAGGCTCCCAGACAGAACAGAAGCTAGAGAGGAAAGTGAACCTGAGGTAAAGGAGGATGTGATAGAAAAGGCCGAGTTAGAAGAAATGGAGGAGGTGCACCCTTCAGATGAGGAGGAAGAGGAAGAGACAAAGGCTGAGAGTTTTTACCAAAAACATATGCAGGAAGCCTTGAAGGTAACTCCAAAGTGCAGGGAGGCTCTTGGGGGCAGGGAACTGGGACTACTGGGCAAGGCCCCTGAGAAAGAGACCTCATCATTCCTAAGCAGCCTGGCCACACCTGCAGGAGCCACTGAGCATGTCTCTTACATCCAGGATGAGACAATTCCTGGCTACTCAGAGACTGAGCAGACCATCTCAGATGAGGAGATCCATGATGAACCGGAGGAGCGCCCAGCTCCGCCCAGATTCCATACAAGTACGTATGACCTCCCTGGGCCTGAAGGGCCTGGCCCCTTTGAAGCCAGCCAGCCTGCAGATAGTGCTGTTCCTACCACTTCTAGCAAAGGCTATGGACCACCAGAGACTGAACTCACCTACCCCCCCAACATGGTGGCTGCTCCTTTGGCTGAAGAGGAACATGTGTCCTCAGCCACCTCAATCACTGAATGTGACAAGCTTTCTTCCTTTGCCACATCAGTGGCTGAGGACCAGTCTGTGGCCTCACTTACAGCTCCCCAGACAGAAGAGACAGGCAAGAGCTCCCTACTGCTTGACACAGTCACAAGCATCCCCTCCTCCCGCACTGAAGCCACTCAGGGCTTGGACTATGTGCCATCAGCTGGTACCATCTCACCCACCTCCTCACTGGAAGAAGACAAGGGCTTCAAATCACCACCCTGTGAAGACTTCTCTGTGACTGGGGAGCCAGAGAAAAAAGGAGAGATCATAGGGAGAGGCCTACCTGGAAAGAAAGCCATAGAAGAAGAGGAGGAGATGGCAAATGTAGAGATGTCTGATAAACTTTGCAGTCAATATGGAGCCCCAATGTTTGGTCCCCCTGGGCATGCCCTACATCCAGGGGAACCGGCTCTTGGAGAAGTGGAGGAGCGGTGCCTCAGCCCAGATGACAGTACAGTGAAGATGGCCTCTCCTCCACCATCTGGCCCACCCAGTGCCACCCACACACCCTTTCATCAGTCACCAGTGGAAGAGAAGTCTGAGCCCCAAGACTTTCAGGAAGCGGACTCCTGGGGAGACACTAAGCGCACACCAGGTGTGGGCAAAGAAGATGCTGCAGAGAAGATGGTCAAGCCAGGTCCTGAAGAGGGCACACTGGAGGAGGGGAAGCTCCCTCCTCCAAAGAGCCCTCAGGCCCAGGAAGCCCCCATCAGCATTTTTGGGGGACATACAGGCTACACTATTCAGCTATTGTCCGAACAAGACAAAGCAACAGTCTTTGAGACTGTACAAGCAGGAGAATCCACAGGCCCAATTCTTGGAGCAGAAGCCCTTCCTAAAGGTTTGAGGACATCACTCCAAGAACCTGGTGAACCTCAGAAAGATGAGGTGCTCCAATTTCCTGACCGAAGCCTCTCCCCTGAAGATGCAGAGTCCTTCTCTGTCCTCAGCATGGTCTCTCCAGACACTGCCAACCAAGAGCCCACCCTCAGGTCTCCTTGTGGACTGACAGAGCCGTACCTACACAAAGGCCTTTGGCCAGAGGTGTCTCCAGAAGATACCCAGTCACTTTCTGTCTCAGAAGAAAGTCCCAGCAAGGAGACCTCTCTAGACATCTCTTCTAAGCAGCTCTCTCCGGAAAGCCTTGGCATTCTCCAGTTTGGAGAACTAAACCTTGGAAAGGAAGAAAAGGGGCCACTGATGCAGGGTGAAGACACCTCTCACCAACTAGCTCCTGTGTCTATTCCAGAGCCCTATGCAGCCACAGTGTCACCTCCCTTACATGGGACCACTGGATACTCTGCACAAGCAGACTTCACAGATGAGAGCCCTGACAGAAAATTACCTTCCAGCTCCTTCTCTCACTCTATACCATCAGGAGATGGGAAGCACTCACCTGGGGTGTTCACAAGCCCTGGTGAACATATTCTGACACCTGATAGCTCCTTCACCAGGAGTCCTGAGTCTTTGCCAAGCCCTGCCATGGAGGACATTGCTATGGAATGGGAAGGTAAAGTTCTAGGGTTGAAAGATAGAACCCCAGAGGATAAGGACAAGGAACCTGAGCCAAAGGATGAAGTCCTACATCAGAAGGACAAAACTCTGGAACAGAAGGATGTTGTTGTAGAGCAGAAGGATACAGCCATTCCTAAGAAAGATGAAGTTCTAGAAGAAAAGAACAAGGCTGTGAAACAGCAGGATGAGGCTTTAGAACAAAAAGGCAGAGACTTAGACCAAAAGGACGTAGTGTTAGAACAAAAAGACAAGGCCCTGAAACAGGACAAGATCCCAGAAGAAAGAGATAAAGCCTTAGAACAAAAGGACACAGCCCTGGAAAAGAAGGACAAGGCCTTGGAACCAAAAGACAAAGACTTAGAACAAAAAGATAGAGATTCAGAACAAAAGGACACAGCCCTGGAACACAAGGACAAAGCCCTGGGACCAAAAGACAAAGACTTAGACCAAAAAGATAAGTTCCTAGAACAGAAAGATATGATCCCAGAAGAGAAAGACAAAACCTTAGAACAAAAAGACCAAGACTTTGAACATAAAGACAAGGCTCCAGAGGAAAAGGTCCCTGAACTTAAGGGCAAAGCCCTAGAACAGACAGACAAAGCCCCTGAACAGAAAGACAAGGCCCAGGGACAGAAGGATAAGGGCTCAGAAAAGGAGGATCAGGCCTTACAACAAAGATACTGGGCCTTAGGACAGAAGGATGAAGCCTTGGAACAAAACAATAAGGCTATTGAACAGAAAGGTAAGGCTCTGGAAGAGAAGGACAAAACTCAGAGAAAGGAGAGCCTAGTACTGGAGGATAAAACCATTAAACCAAAGGAGAAGATCCTAGAGGAAAAATCCCTAGAAAAGGTCAAGGCTGTGGAACAGAAGGAAGAAGCTCTTCAGGAGAAGACCAAAGCTCTTGGGCTGGAAGAGAGCCCCATGTGGGAGGTCAAGGCCAGAGAGCAGGAAGAGAAGTACTGGAAGGAGCAGGATTTAGTCCAGGAGTGGCAAGAAACATCTCCAACCAGAGGGAAGCCAGTTGACGAACAGAAAGAGCCTGCTCCAGCATGGGAGGACACAGCTGCTCCTAAGCAGGAGGACAGGTATTGGAGGGGCAGAGAGGAGGTGGCCCTGGAAGAGGACCCATACTGGAGGGAGCTAAGCTGTGAGCGGAAGGTCTGGTTCCCTCACGAGCTGGATGGCCAAGGGGCCCGCCCACGGTACAGCGAGGAACGGGAGAGCACTTTCCTCGATGAGGGGCTAGATGATGAGCAAGAAGTGCCCCCCAGAGAGCACACACCCCGGAGCCCGTGGGCCTCAGACTTCAAGGATTTTCAGGAGCCCTCACAGAAGGGGCTAGAGGTGGAACGCTGGCTTGCTGAGTCACCAGTTGGGCTGCCACCAGATGAAGAGGACAAGCTGACCCGCTCTCCTTTTGAGATCATCTCCCCTCCAGCCTCCCCACCTGAGATGGTTGGGCAGAGGGTTCCTTCAGCCCCAAGACAAGAGAGCCCTATCCCAGAACCTAAGCCCATGCCACCCATGAGGAAGGAACCCACGACCCCCTCATGGTTGGCTGACATCCCACCGTGGGTGCCCAAGGACACACCCTTGCCCCCTCCACCCCTTTCCCCAGCTCCAGCTCCCCCTACGCCTGCCCCAGAGCCCCACACTCCTTCACCCTTCTCCTGGGGCACAGCTGAGTATGACACTGTGGTGGCTGCAGTGCAGGAGGGGGCAGCTGAGTTGGAAGGGGGGCCATACTCCCCCCTGGGGAAGGACTACCTCAAGGCTGAAGGGGAAAGGGAAGAAGGTAGAATTGGGGCTCCTGACAGTAGTCCCCAAAGCTCAAAGGTCCCTGAAGCCAGTGAGAGCCATATCACTGGGGACCCCGAGCAGACTGAGCCAGAGCAGAGGGAGCCCACACCCTATCCTGATGAGAGAAGCTTTCAATATGCAGATATCTATGAGCAGATGATGCTTACTGGGCTTGGCCCTGCGTGCCCCACTAGGGAGCCTGCACTTGGAGCAGCTGGGGATTGGCCCCCACGCCTCTCAACCAAGGAGGAGGCTGTTGGCCGACACACATCTGCGGAGAAGGAGCTTTCATCTCCTGTCTCCCCCAAGAGCCTCCAATCTGACACTGCAACCTTTAGCTACGCATCCCTGGCAGGACCCACTCTACCCCCCAGGCAGGAGCCTGAGCTAGGGCTGAGTGTGGAGTCCAGCCTTACCCCACCTGCAGTGCCCCCCCGTGCTCCTATCTCCCTGAGCAAAGGCCCAAGCCCCCCTCTTAATGATAACATCTTGGGCTGCAGCCCAGAGAGGAGGACTCCATCCCCCAAGGAATCAGGTCGGGGTCACTGGGATGACAGCACTAGTGACTCAGAGCTGGAGAAGGGGGCTCTGGAACAGTCAGAGAAAGAGGCCCAATCCCCAAGCCCCCCTCACCCCATCCCTGTGGAGCCCCCCACATTGTGGCCTGAAACTGAGGCACATTCCAGCCCTTCCTCGGACTCACACCTGGGGCCTGCCCGACCCAGCCTGGACTTCCCTGCTTCAGCCTTTGGCTTCTCCTCATTGCAGCCAGCTCCCCCACAGCTGCCCTCTCCGGCCGAACCTCGCTCAGCACCCTGTGGCTCCCTCGCCTTCTCTGGGGATAGGGCTCTGGCTCTGGCTCCGGGACCTCCAACCAGAGCCCGACACGATGAGTACCTGGAAGTGACCAAGGCCCCCAGCCTAGACTCCTCACTGCCCCAGCTCCCATCACCTAGCTCTCCTGGGGCCCCTCTTCTCTCCAATCTGCCACGACCTGCCTCACCAGCCCTGTCAGAAGGCTCCTCCTCTGAGGCCACCACACCTGTGATTTCAAGTGTGGCTGAGCGCTTTCCTCCAGGCTTTGAGGCTGCAGAAAAAGGGTCTGGAGAGCTAGACCCAGAAATGGAACCAGCTGCTCACAGCCTCTGGGACCTCACTCCTCTAAGCCCAGCACCCCCACCTTCACTGGACTTGGCCCTAGCTCCGGCTCCAAGCCTGCCTGGAGACATGGATGATAGCACCTTGCCCTGCCGCCTGGAGTGCTCAGGGGCAGCCATGAGGAAGCCAAGCCCCTTCCAGGGGCCCTCTGGAGACTGTGCAGCCAATGGCCCGAATGAAACCAGCCCCAAACCCCCAGGCCCTACCCCACCTAAGGCTGAAAAAGAAGAGGCTGAGGCCTGTCTTGCCTGGGAACGTGGGGCCTGGCCTGAGGGAGCTGAGAGGAGCTCCCGGCCTGACACACTGCTGTCCCCTGAGCAGCCACCATGTCCCGGAGAGGGCTCTGGTGGCCCGTCCAGCAGTATCTCATCTGAGATTGAGGCTGGGCCCCAGGGCTGTGCCGCTGAGCCCCGGCCCCACCATGGGGAGCTCTCCCCATCCTTCCTGAACCCACCTCTGCCCCTATCCATGGACGACAATGACCTTTCAACTGAGGAAGCTCAGCTGGTAGGAAGAGGGGGGTGGCGCCGGGCAGGGGGGCCAGGAAAAACAGGAGGCCCATGTCCTGTGGCTGATGAGACACCCCCCACATCAGCCAGTGACTCAGGCTCCTCACAGTCAGATTCTGATGTCCCACCAGAAACTGAGGAGTGTCCATCCATCACAGCTGAGGCAGCCCTCGACTCAGATGAAGATGGGGACTTCCTGCCTGTGGACAAAGCTGGGGGGGTCAGTGGAACTCACCATCCCAGGCCTGGCCACGACCCACCCCCTATCCCCCAGCCAGACCCCCGCCCATCCCCTCCCCGCCCTGATGTGTGCATGGCAGACCCTGAGGGGCTCAGCTCAGAGTCTGGGAGGGTAGAGAGGCTACGGGAGAAGGAGAAAGTGCAGGGGCGAGTAGGCCGCAGGCCCCCAGGCAGGGCCAAGCCCGCATCCCCTGCACGGCGTCTGGATCTTCGGGGAAAACGCTCACCTACCCCTGGCAAAGGGCCTGCAGATCGAGCATCCCGAGCTGCACCCCGACCACGCAGCACTGCAAGCCAGGTCGCCTCAGCAGAGGAAAAGGATGGACACAGCCCCATGTCCAAAGGCCTAGTCAATGGACTCAAGGCAGGACCCAGTAAGTATATCATGAAAAGCGGGAGAGGGTGTGGGTTGGGGCTGGGTGTAAACTGTTCGAAGGCTCCAGGAGTGAGAAAGAGGGTGAAGGTGCTGAAAGTGGTCAACTTTTCCTCTACAATGAGTCCTGGCTTGTCTCTACAGTGGCCTTGGGTTCCAAGGGTGGCACCGGCCCCCCTGTATATGTGGATCTCGCCTATATCCCGAACCATTGCAGTGGCAAGACTGCTGACCTTGAATTCTTCCGTCGAGTGCGTGCATCCTACTATGTGGTCAGTGGGAATGACCCTGCCAATGGCGAGCCAAGCCGGGCTGTGTTGGATGCCCTGCTGGAGGGCAAGGCCCAATGGGGGGAGAATCTTCAGGTGAGTAGCAAGGGATGCCAAGGTAGTAGCCTGGTCAAAACTCACTCAGAGGCACAGTCCCTATGCATAAAAAGACTGAGCCTTTTTTATGGGCAGCAAGGCTGCTTCTGAGATCATTAGGTGCCTCTTCCCCCTCACCCACCTTCCCTTCGTGTTCTCACATCGGGCATGTCTTATCTCCCTCCTAGGTGACTCTGATCCCCACTCATGACACAGAGGTGACTCGTGAGTGGTACCAGCAGACTCATGAGCAGCAGCAGCAACTGAATGTCCTGGTCCTGGCAAGCAGCAGCACTGTGGTCATGCAGGATGAGTCCTTCCCAGCCTGCAAGATTGAGTTCTGAAAGATCCGCCTCCCTTCCCCAAGGATCCACTCCCCCAGCTCCTTTAGAGAATGGCTACTGCTGAGTCCTTTGGGGTTGAGGGAGACGGGAGCCCCAGGGGAAGCAGATGTCTTACTGTGAGGACTTGGGCTGGGCTAAATGGGAGGGGTTGTCCCTCCCCCTCATCCATTCCTGAGAAGGGTCTCAAAACCAAAGGTAACAGGAATAGGATAGGGGGAGGGTACAAATTAGGATAGAGGTCATCTGACGCCTGAGAACCCTGGAGTACTCTCCTAGCCCTGTCAAATGTTGGTATTAGATAGGGAGTGAGGATAGGTCTCAGAGAGCAACCTCCTCCTTCATGGAGGGAGATCACATCCCCAACCCCAGGGACCCCTTTATCTCAATCTATTTATTTAGCATCCCAGGAAGGATTTCCAATAGTAATTTATGCAACCTGGAGGCAGGATACTGTCAGTGAGGTGCCCAGAGCTGCACCCGTTCCTCCATCTCCCATTCCCTCACCCACCCGGGTCTGGGTTCTAGCAATGGCCTGGGGGTGTACCACTGCTACACTGTCCTGCTTCCCTCAGTATCTGAATGTCTCAATCCAAAACTTGAAGCTCTTTGACCAATTGACTGGTGAGAGAAGAAAGGAGCTTATCTCCTACCCTCTGCTTCATACCATTCATATCCCAGGGCTGTGTCCAGACCAGGCCTACTGGGCAGCACAAAAGGGCAAGGAGAGCCCAGTCCCAATCCCAGAATCCTTCCAAACTTCCTGACCCTTTGAAGTTTTTACTCACCCCATTCTAATTATCCTTATCCCTTCTCATCCCCTGCTTGGCTTCTCTGCATGTGGTCATCTGCTGTGGCCTGGTGTGTAATGGGTTAAAAACAAGCCACTGCCTGACATGACATCCCAACATTTGACACCCCAGCAATGTGTGACTCCCCCAACATTCCACTCTACCATCCTGCAGCTGAAATGAGAATGCTGGCTGCCTCTCCAAACCCAAACTCTTGGACAGAGGATTTGGGGAGTGGAGACTAGGCCAGAGGACTTGGGGAAAATGAGAGGGAAGAAGGGAAAAAGGAAACGAAGCTGAGCTATAGCTTAACTCCTACAGAGTAAAATGAAAATGGGCTGAAATACCACCCCAGGAGAGGACCTCGCCCCAAGCAAGCCAGTGAGAGGGCCTGCCAGACTACTGCCGGACTGAGAAACCCAGACGCTGATAGTCTTGCAGGCTCGCCTTCTCTGCCAAACTGGGAAACCAAAGTGAGCCCACTTTGTGTTCTTCCTAGCTCCCACCTTCCCCGTGCTGCTGTGCTCTGCTCCTCCCCACACTTCCCTGCTATGGTTCCCAGCTGCTGTAATGGAGCCGCCTCCAACTCTAACAATAAATCAAGTTCATTGCGGATCGTGTAGTACTGCTTAGGTTTTTTCTGATTCCTCACATTGCTTAGTTGCTGGGCCCCAGCTTCCCCCTCTCTGCTTCAACCAGTATTATCTTTTATCTTGGAAGACCCCAGTGCTTTTGATTACTGGAAGCAATTCCAGGACACAGGGGAGCCAGAGAACACAGGGTGGGTAAAGGGAGAAAGATAGGGGGAGCCAGCGTAATTTCTGAAAATGGGTGAGTAAGTCTAGGATGGGACAAACATTTGGTTTGGGGGATCGAAGAGGAGAAGGGAACCTGCATTCCATGGGGTCAAGAACTGAGGACCGAATAACCAGGATCAGATACCCTGGCTAGAGAAACACCAAAGAGGTAAGCAGTTGAAGGGTCCTAAGAGACCCAGAGCCTATTGAGATTGGAAATACCTCTCCCTGTGCAGTCACGATTTCCATGGAATAAAAAGATTTCCTCCCCTCCAGTGAAACCCTTTATAGTTTTGGGTATGTCATGAGTGGCCAGGTTATGAATGTGAGTATTTGGGAAAGCGGATATTCTAGCCCTCCTGGTATTCTAGGCTCTCCCAGTATAAAGATATCAAGTGGGTAGAGAAAGGGCATAGCCCCTTTATCTACTCATGACACTCGAAATTACCAGAGTGAAAAATTAAGAGGGTGATTCTAAGGATTTGGTGACAAGGCACGTACCCTCTGGTGCTTCACAGAGACAGAACCTCTTTCCATTCCCATATCCAACACTCTACTTATTAAAGACATTTTGGCATTGTGGGCTGATTGTTATAGCGACCTCTTGGGATGCCCAATCTCTGTATTTTTCTTTTTATTTCTTTTTTTTATTAGGAGAACAATGAGCATTATTTTTTTCTTTTTTGAGACAGAGTGTTGCTCTGTTGCTTGAACTAGAGTGCTGTGGCGTCAGCCTAGCTCACAGCAACGTCAAACTCCTGGGCTCAAGCAATCTGTCTCAGCCTCCCAAGTAGCTGGGACTACAAGCATGCATCACCATGCCCAGCTAATTTTTTCTATATATTTTTAGTTATCTGGCTAATTTCTTCTATTTTTAGTAGAGACGGGGTCTCGCTCTAGCTCAGGCTGGTTTCGAACTGATCTCCAGTAATCCTCTGGCCCTGGCCTCCTAGAGTGCTAGGATTACAGGCGTGGGCCACCACAGCAGGCCCCCAATCTCTGTGTTTTTATAGCCCATTTCTACTCTACTATAATGGCTTTTTTTTTTTTTTTTTTTTTTTTTGAGACAGAGTCTCACTCTGTTGCCCAGGCTAGAGTGCCATGGCACCAGCCCAGCTCACAGCAACCTCAAACTCCTGGGCTCAAGCGATCCTTCTGCCTCAGCTTCCAGGAATAGCTGGGACTACAGGCATGTGCCACCATGCCCAGCTAATTTTTTCTCTATATATTTTTAGTTGACCAATTCATTTATTTTTGTTTTTAGTAGAGATGGGGTCTCGCTCTTGCTCAGGCTGATCCCAAACTCCTGACCTTGAGCGATCTTCCTGCCTCGGCCTCCCAGAGTGCTAGGATTACAGGCGTGAGCCACAGCACTGGCGCTATAATGGCTTTAGACTGATTCAGATTAATTCAGTCACAGACACAACTGACTCATAGTCATATTCATTCTTGAATTCACAAGGACATTGTCATCACCACCACCATTCTCATTATTTTGCATTTATTGAGCACTCATAATGTTCCGGCCCCCCCCCTCCAATGACCCATTACCCCTCCTACCCACCCCATTCCCATCCCCACATCTTTGGGAAAAGCTTCATAATCACATCTGGCCCTAAAGACACAATGATGTAAGGACAAACTTCTTAAGGACCCTGGAGTGTTTGGTCTTTGGCCAGTCTGTCCCTGGCACTACTACAGAAATATATATATATATATATTTATTAAATCTTTACTCATATCTGTACAATATTGATCTTTGATGATTTCTTAAAATAGAACTTAATTCTACTACAGCATCTCCTAAAGCCAAACAGCCTCACAACAAAGGGAGGCCCAGCTTCACAGAATGGCCAAGAATCCTCTAGACCATTTTAACAAGTTACTCTGAAATTTGCATGGCCATCTAATACTTATTTTTCCCTGGAGCTGTTGACCAGAGGAATAAGACTTGGGCAGAGGGGGCACTTGGGGATGATGTGGAAACACTCATAAGCCCAGTCCTAAAGATTAGTGGCCATGACAGATGTTTGTTTGAGAAGGGGACTCTATTTTCCAGACATTTCAGAAGGCCATTCTGGGCCCACATGAGGAGTGCTAGCAAAGACAAGAGTCCCCCTGAATGCACATATGGTCTAAGGGAAACTTGAGAAGTTGTGAATATTTCCCAAGAAAAGTGAAGACCCTGGAGTCTCTCCTTTTGCATTTGCTATCCCCGGATGGTGTCTTCAGTAGTTAAGTGGCATTTCCTTTAACAATCTGTGATTTCCTGCAATGCTCAGAGTAGGATGGGTAATGACAGACCAGTCCACCCCAAGGAAACCCTATTCAAGTCTAATGGCAAGGTGAGGAGCCAATAGCTACTTTGAACATGAAATTGGCTCCTCCTCAAGCAAGGCTCTGGTACAGGTATGCTTCATGACAAGACAACTGCTTCCTCAGACACTTCTGGTGAGAGCCAAGGCCTCATGCTGGCTGGTGAGTTAGCCAAGAGAAAAGGTTGCTGGCTCAAATGGCTGGTATAGTGTGACACCACTCATGAGAAAATAATTAATTACATGTTGCTGGTGGAAGAGGTGAGTGCTGGTCATGGGCTGGAGATTGGCTTTGAGGGTTTAGATCACTAGACAGATACTGGACTTGAGGATCATCCTCTCCAGGCAGGTCAATCACCTCAGGGACCACCCAGGACTGCTGACTAACTTCCTCAGGGACCTCCAGGGCCTGCAGATCAATTTCCCCAGGGAACTCTTGGGATGGTTTATCAACTTCAGGGATGTCCTGAGACAACAGATTGATTGCAGAAGCTCCCTGGGCTAGCCTGCCAACCTCCATAGAAAACTTCTGGCATGGCTGGCTGAGCTCCTCAGGGATCTCTTGGGCTGGTCTACTGACTTCCACAAGGGTTTCCTGGACCAGGCCCCCATCCTCTACAGGGAACTCATGGACCAGCCTGCCAACCTCCACAGGGACCACCTGGTATGGCTGGCTGAACTCTTCAGGGTTCTCCTGGCAAAGCTGGCATACTTCCTCAGAGACTTTCTGGCACAGTTGGCTGGCCTTCTGGCATGGCTGGTTGATCTGAGGGACCTCCAGGCATGTACGGTTAAGATTGTCATGGTTCTCCTGGTATGGCTGGCTGATCTCCTCAGGGATGTTCTGGCATGGCTGGCTGATGTCAGGGACCTCCTGACATGGCTGGATGACCTCTTCAGCAAGCTCCTGGCATGGCTGGCTAATTTCCACAGGTGGCATCTGTGGAGATTGGTTCAGTTCAAAAGGCTCTTGCTTCCCTTCTATGGATAGCTCTTGTGCTCCATTCCTGAGGGTCTCCTGGAGTAGCCCAAGGCCTTGACGTTCTTCAGTCACATGTGAATGTAGGGAGGGTTGATCACTGAAGCCAAAATGGGAGTTACCATCAGCTGCAGTAGGGGAAGAAGGACCAGCACTGGACACAGTGCTAGAAGGGCCACTGCTGTCTGTAAAGCAAAGTCAGGAGACCAAGTCAGAAAAGCTGGAAGAGGAGGCTTTACTCTATGCATAAAGTTCACATGCTAGAATGGGTAGCCTATGCCACTTATGTCTTGAGGAAAGAGGGTCTGAATTCTTCCTAAGTTAGGCAGAGATTCCTAAGTTTGCCTAGCTCAGGAATTTTCATCCTAGCCTAATGTATACCATAAGAGTAACATTAAGGTACATCTAAGACTTCAGGAGAGAGTGTGGAGGCCCACTATGTGTAGTTCTTTCACAAACCCCCATCCCAACTCCAAATTCCCATGACCCCTCATTTCTACTTTGGAAACATATGAACACTTTAGCGCAGTGGTTCATAATTAGCCCAGGGTTACCTATAAACATTCTGTAAGATCTCAAAAGCACAAGCAACCAAAGCAAAAATAGAGAAATGGAATTATATCAAGCTAAAAAGCTTCTGCACAGCAAAAGAAGCAATCAACAAAGTGAAAAGACAATTCCACAGAATGTAAGAAAATATTTACAAACTATCCATCTGACAAAGGATCAATAACCAGAATATATAATGAGCTAAAACAACTCAATAGCAAAAAAACCCAAATAATCCAATTAAAAATGAGCAAAAGATCTGATAGACATTTCTCTAAGGAAGACATACAAATGCCCAACAAGTATATGAAAAATGCTCAACATCACTAATTATCAGAGAAATGCAAATCAAATATAATTGCTTTTTGTCAAAAATACAGGCAACAATGGATGCTGGTGAGGATGTGGTGAAAGGGGAAACCTCATACACTGTTGGTGGGAATGTAAATTAGTAGTACAGCCATTATGGAGAACAGTATGGTAGTTCCTCAAAAAACTAAAAATAGAACTACCTAAAAATAGAACTACCATATGATCCAGCAATCCCACTACTGGGTATATATTCAAAAGAAAGAAAATCAATATATTGAAAAGAGATCTGCACTTCCATGTTCACTGCAGCACTATTCGCAATAGCCAAAATATGGAATCAACCTACGTGATCATCAACAGATAAATGGATAAAGAAAATGTGGCATATATACATAATGGAATAGTATCTAGCAATAAAAAGAATGAAATCTGTCATTTGCAGCAACATGGATGGAACTGGAAGTCATCATGTTAAGTGAAATAAGATAAGTACAGAAAAACAAGAAAGGGTAGGCAGGAGAGGGGAATGAAGAGAAATTAATCAATAGGTACAAATATATGGTTTCATAGAAGACAATATTGTCTTCCCTGGTGCCAAAAAGGTTGAGGACTGCTGCTATATATTATTATAAATTATAGTCATCTTGCTGATTTATCTAATACTAGGTGT